CCTTCATGTATAGTCACTTGGCTTTCAACAAAACTGTCCATGCATTTTTTAAAAAGACTTTATTTATTTGAGAGACAGAGAGAGCTTGTGCACTCATGCATGCAAGTTGGGGGAGGGGGAGGGACAAGCAAACTCCATGCTGAGCTAGGAGCCCAATGCAGGGCTCTATCTCATGACCCTGAGATCTTGACCTGAGCCGAAATCAAGGGCCGGACACTCAACACTCAACCCACTGAGCCACCCAGCTGCTTCTGTCCATGCATTTTAATAGGGAAACCTTACTTCCCTCAAAAATCAGTTTGAGATGGATCGTATGCCTAATCATACAATAAAACCTCTACATCTTTTTTTAAAATCTATGTCTTAAAGTTTTTTGTTTTTAAGATTTACTTGCTTATGTCTTAAAGTTTTAAAACATAGGTGAATATCTTCATGACCTTGGGGTTGGCAACGATTTCTTAGCCAGAACATAAAAAGCACTACCCATAAAAGGCATAGGCACAAACACATGGACCCAGCAATGGCTCCTGACCAGGGAGAAGAGCAAGCCCCACAAGCCCAGGAGCTGGGGACCAGGGAGGCACAGCAGGGACTCCCCAGTACAGTCTCTGAGCTCTAGGCCCAGAGAATTATTTGGAGATCAACACTGGAGTCCACAAATCCTAATTGTGAATTGTGCAACCTGTCCCCTGACAGTTACCTAACTTTGTTTTCAGCTCCCTTCACCCAGTTCTTCGATTCTGAAAGCCTTCTGGATCATTCACTAAAGCTGCCTTCCAGATGTCTTGTAGAGCAGGCATCAGGGCTGGGCAGCAGAGGGATTTCACACATTCTATGTGGCACATAGTGGGAGTCACAGGGAGGCCTATACCAGCTCCAGCTCCATACAAGGAAAACTTTTGAACTGTTAAAAATAACCAGTACAGAAATGCATGGCTTCTGAAAGGAGTAAGCTTCCCATTATCAGAGGTATACAAGCACTGTTCTGTAGAGGCATGAGCTCAAGAAATGGTGGCTTTTTATTATCTTTTTATTATTTATTATTATTTTTTTATTATGATTAATTTAGGGTGGTTTTTTTTTAAGTTTATTTTTAGTAATCTCTACACCTAATGTGGGGCCTGAGCTCATGACCGCTAGATCAAGAGGTACATCCTCTTCTGACTGAGCCACCCAGGTGCCCCTAATTTAGGGGTTTTAAGCCTTAGAGCAGTCAGAGGGAAAGGCATAGATGAGAGAAGGAAGTGAACAGAAGCAAGCAACCATGATGGGCTCCAGTAAAGTATTCTCTTTTTAAGCTGAAATAAGAGGTGCCTGGCTGGCTCAGCTGGTAGAGCATGTCTTTCAATCTCAGGGTTGTGAGTTCAGGCCCCACATTGGACATGGAGCCTACTTAATAAATAAATAAACAAACACACAAACTGAAATGAAAGTGGACAACTCTTTGAGGCCTTATTGGACAAGAAGGGGCAGGAGGTTTCCTCTTCAGCTGGGCATCAGATTTATCCCTCAAAAACCTACCTGTGGAAAGCGACTAGGTGTCCAAATTCAGGGTCCATGAATAGGTATTTGTAATATCTCCATTTTTGCTAAGAGGATTGGGGGCTCAGAGAGGTTAAGTAATTTGCCCAAGGTCACACTGCAACTGGGTGACCAAGGGAACATTGGCAAAACCAATTGTAAAACCCTAAAAGTACTTAAAAACTAAGGCCCATCTAGTTCAGTGGTTCTCAAACTTTGCCTGAAGAACTTGCTAAGCCTAAACTGCTTGGGTGGGTCTTAGTAACTTGCATTTTAACAAAATATCTCCGGAGATGCAGGAGCAGGTATGACTTTGGTGGTGGTTAAGCCCCAGATTCCGAAGACTCACCAACGGGGTTTAACGTCCTACTTACTGGTTTTCTGCACGTTTCCATCTGTAAAATGGTGATATTAATACCATGCGTTGTTGTAAGAAATTCCGGAGTTGAATATAATATATCAATATAATAAAAGCTCCCCCTGCTTGTGTGCACTCTCTCTAGATTAAAAAAAAAGATTTTATTTATTTATTTGAGAGAGAGGGAGCGGGAGCACAAGCGGGCAGGGTGGAAGGCAGAGGAAGAAGCAGACTCCCCACTGAACAGGGATCCTGATGTGGGGCTCCATCCCAGGATCCTGGGATCATGACCTGAGCCAAAGGCAGACGCTTAACCCACTGAGCCCCCGAGACTCCCCAGGTAAGTACTACTTAAGTGTCAAATTTTTTTCACCCTATGTTATGGGAAGCTTGCTATCCGTCTCCAAAGACATCTTTGTTCAGCCCTGGGCCGTGCCCACTAGCCCCAGTGATGGGGCGGGTTGCAGCAGCCCTTTCAGTTGGATCTCTATACACTCAAGCACAGAATTGATTGAAAAATTCTATTTGGGTTTTTTGGATATAAATCCCCAAAGCCTGAGAGCACACCTCCCTGGCCACTAGAGGGAGCCGTATATGGTGTTTGGAGGTACTGCGGGGATGGGCAGCTGGGGTTCCAAACCTAACTCTCCAATGGTTAGTTTGGGATGGAGTTGGTGCATCTCAGGTCCCAGCTGTTTCTAGCAAGGGTGGGGAGAGGTTACTAACCATAGGCCCTTTCCAGGCTCTAGGGCCAAGGGCTGGAAGCAGGAATTGCTCAGATGCCTCCCCTCCAAGTCTGGATAATATTTTTATTTTTTCTGCTCAATGCATATGGTAGGATTCAAAGCCCAGAGAATTAGAAGGAGGGGGGAGGGGCATGATGGAGGAGTTGGAGAAAGGAAACTTGGCTTCTTCCCAGCCCCAAAGCCCCTGCTGAGCTGCTACTCCCAGATCCCATTGTTTCTTCTAAATCAGCAAATCTCTCCTTCCAGCTTCCAGCCTCTTCCCCTTTCAGACCTGGCCTCCCTCAGGCCCCATCAGCTTCCAAATGTTGTGTATACCCACTTCTGTCTGAGCAAGGATTCCTCAGACCCAAGCACATTTCATTACCTTATTCATTGAACATGCTTCTTGTGGGAGTTTCCGGTGTGTCTAACCCCGTGAGAGTCCATGGGGGTGTTGGAGAAGTGATTTAAAAGGATACGAATTTTGATCTCAGGGTGCTCATCAGTTGGGGTGGGGGGACATGGACAAACAGGTCAATACATAAATAAACTAGGTGATTTCAGATACTGTAGTAATCAGAACTACAAAAGAAATAAAATAGGGTGAGGTGATAGAACGTGAAATGGGGGACACTTTAGACAGAAAGGGAAGGTCTCTCTTTGGAGGTGGTTTTTGAACACAGTTGGTTAAGTAGAAGGAGTAATAAGTACAAAGGCCATCCAAGAAACAAGCCCAGTGAGGGGAGATTTCAAAATCGTTTTCCTAGTGTTCATGTAAACTCCCAGAATGGCCTCTGAGGAATCCCAGAGACTTTGGGGAGGAAGGGGCCTTCAGGTTTATCCCATAATGTGAGGGGGTGGAGGGGCGCTCTCTAGTGGTGACAAGCGTTAAATTTCACCATCGCTGACCTGGAATGCCTCTTACTTGTGATTTGACTGGGCTAATTATGAGCTTCACTCATTCCTGTCTCTCCCACACTTATTCATTCAACAGATGCTTACTGAATGCTGCCTATGTGCCAAGAGCTATTCTAGATACTGGTAGAGTTTTGAAACCGACAGTAAATGTCCCTGCCCCCTGGAGCTCACATCCTAAGGAACAGTCTTAAGCCTAGGACTCTAACCCCACCTCACCTCTGCCCTTCACTATTCCCCAGCTAAATCGCCATCCTAATGCTCCAGCAGCCAGATACTGCTCTTCAGGGTCTCTGCACTTACTGTTCCCTTCCCCGGGAAGGCAGGTTCCTGGCTCTTTGCATCGCTGGTTCAGGTCTCATCTCAAACGTGACCAAGTTAGAAAAGCGTAAACTTACTTATTGCCTATTGTCCCCATTAAAATACGAGTCCATGAAGGTTACCATTTTCCCGGAATCCCTTAGCCTCGCACTTAACAGACGCTCAGTAAACACTTGCTGAATGGGTTTGAGCATTCATTCATTCAAAAAAATATTAGGTGCAAGCTGGGCTATTTAGAGCAGACTCTGATGAACCATTAAATGAACAAATTGAACAAAACAGACCAAAAAAATCCCTGCCCAGAGCATTCTAAAATTAAAATTACAACCCCCACGGGGCGCCTGGGTGGCCCAGGAGGTCAGGCATCTGACTCTTGGTTTCCATAGGATAGTGAACTCAGGGTCGTGAGATCATATCCCCTGTCAGGGTCCATGCTCAGCTCGGCTGAGTCCCCTTGGGACTCCCTCCCTCTGCCCCTCCCCCCCACGCTCGCGCTCTCTCAAATAATCTTTACAAATTGCAACCCCTGCACTACTCACCCCCTTTACCCTGCTTTATTTTTTCTATACATTTATCACCTAGACTATTATAATTTACTCCTTGGTGTTTGTGTGTCTCCCCTCTCGAATGTAAGCTCCGTGAAGGCAGGGGATTTTGTCCTGGGGATCCTGATCACCACGCCCCCCTCAACGATCAGAACAGTGTTGGCATCAGGTAGTTGCTCAGTAAGTAGACTGAAGGAACTCTAGATCTCAGCCTGCTTTTTCCCCCCAGACCTTGAGCCACATAGATCCAAGGGGGAATGGGCCTCAGGAGGCACCAAGAGGTGACCTCAGGCGGCCCGACCAAGGAGTCCGAGCTCCGGGCGAAGGGCCATCGGAGCAGCTGAGGAGATGGGAGGCGCGGGCAGCAAGAGCGCCGCGAGGCCCGAAAGAGAGCTTCCAGGAAGAGGCGCGAGCGCTCACATAGCGTCGCCAGGACGGTGGGCGGTGCCGTCCGAGGATATGAGTCACATGACTCGCTCCTGCACCGCCCACCTCCTCGTGGGCGGGGTGTCAGGAATGGACCCGGGGCGTATGCTAATCAACCCGAGGCGATGGCCAATCGTAGCGCGCGCCGAGCCAGGGCCAGGGATCTTGGACGCTGGCTAGCGCGCAGGCTCGCATCCGGGCTGCCCCGGGCTTTTGCAAGAGGCGCGGCGGGCCTGCGAGCTGGTGCAGCAGCCGCTTGGTCGACCTCCTTTCTCGTTGTCGGCGGCCGGGCGGGTCAGGGCGCGCGGGGGGCAGGCGGTGGCTGCCTCAGGCGGAGGCGGAGGTGCGGCGGAGGGTGGGGGCCGCTGCCTTCGCAGGAGCCCGGGCCGGCCCGCGCCTTTGCACCGTGCTCCATGCATCCGGAGCCCGCCCCGCCCCCGAACAGCAACAGCCCCGAGCTTCCCCTCACCGGCGGCAGCACCACCAGCGGCAGCCGCCGGAGCCGCCGCCGCAGCGGGGACGGAGAGCCCCCGGGGTCGCCGCCACCGCCAGCCGCCGTTACCTACCCGGACTGGATCGGTCAGAGTTACTCCGAGGTGATGAGCCTCAACGAGCACTCGATGCAGGCGCTGTCCTGGCGCAAGCTCTACTTGAGCCGCGCCAAGCTCAAAGCCTCCAGCCGGACCTCTGCTCTGCTCTCCGGCTTCGCCATGGTGAGCTCGGGCCGCCCTACCCTGCCCCCTCTCCAGTCCTGGACGCTCCCGCCCGCAGCCCCGACGGGGCCCACAGGGAGCAGGCCAGGCGGGCCGGGCGAGCTGGGGGTGCGGGGAAGATCTGGGAGAAAGGTGTCGTGGACGCTGAAGGGGGCCAGAGGTACTGGACCCGAGGAGAGGTGGGCGACAAGCGACATCTGGTGTGGGAGATTGGGTGTTAGACAAATGTCCAGGGTTGGGGGGCTCAGGTGCCTTCAGATGGGCAACTTTGATGCAGCAAGTAGAGAGGAACAGCAGGATCTTTGAAGTAGATCTGTAAGACAGCCCCACATATGTTCAGGGGCAAAGGAAGGACATAAAGGGTCTCATCTCCGTGGGAGCAGGTGTCAGGAGGTGGGGAGGAGGAGTCAACCCCTGAGCTGTCTTTCTTCTGACTCCACACTTGAGGCGAAAAGGTATTGGGCATGTCCTTTTATCATCTAGTAGAGGGGATTTCCTGACACTTTCTCCCACTGCATTTTCCGAGAGCCTCACCCTAAGGTTTTGACAACCACTCTCCACCCTCAGTTTCTTCTCCAGAAACTTGCACTGAGTCACGGGGTGTGGGAGAGGGGGTGGGACATGTTCCCCTTGAATGGGCTTTCAACTGATGGGGGGGGCAGGCATCGTTTCCTCTTCCCATGCCAGGCTGGGCTGGAGTGAGAAACAGTCCTCTGAGGGGTGGCGTTCGTGAAGCTGCAGGTTGGGCGGAGAATTGCTCCTAAGGATGCCTTCAGGCCTGGAGTGTTCCCCAGCAGGGCCTGCAGAACAATTAATGATGATCACTATGTGACACCAGCGTGTGTGAGTGGGGTCTGCCCTCCTCTCCCAAGGTTTCTAGCCCAGAGCGCTCATGCCTCCCCAGTGAGTGAGCTAAGCTCTTGGCCTTGAGGGAGGGAGTGGCTGCACCCTCGTGTTTTCTTGGGAGTGTGTGTGGTACTCTCCCTGTGTTCTACAAACAAGTGGGCCAATGCAGCCTGAACTTTTTAGAAGGCCTGAGCGGGCCCAGAGCACACTGGGCCTCAGTGAAAAAGCCAGGTGATGGGAGTTGAGGAAGAGCTCTCCTAGCTCGCCCCTTGCAGCCTGTGTGACCTCATGCATTTCTCTCTGGATCTTGATTTCTGAATCAGTACATGAAGGCTGCTGCTTAGAAGTATCTCTGACTTTAAGAATTAAATTGAGGGGGCGCCTGGGTGGCTCAGATGGTTAAACGTCTGCCTTCAGCTCAGGTCATGATCCCAGGTCGGGCTCCCTGCTCCTTGGGAGCCTGCTTCTCCCTCTGCCTCTCTCTCTCATGAATAAATAAATAAAATCTTTAAAAAAAAAAAATTAAATCAAGGAAGCCCTTGAGAGGGGATGAGAGAATCTGTGTTTGTGTAAAGGAGTGGCACACTAGTTTTTGGTTTAGGTCATATGATGGAATTCTGTTCTGTCAGTCCCAAACCCTTGAGACTAGTCTCTGCCTTTGCCTGAAGACTCTCTAAGACTAGCTGACCGTTTACCAATCACTCACCCTGTACTAAGCATTGTTGAGGTCCCCTAAACTTTCACACTAACTCCTCAAGCACCCTTTGAGGTGGTTTTGCCACAGGACCTTCCCAAGGCCGTACAGCTAGTCTGCTAGAGCAGGATTTGAACCTAGTCTGCTGGCAGCCAGAACTGTCTTGGGCACTTAGGCCTTTTGTGGCGTTACGGAGTTCTGATCAGTGTCCAGCCAGGGACATGTTCGGACCACGTCTCCTAGGAAATAAGAGAGCAGGAAAGCTAAGCAAAATAAAATGTTAGTTTAGGGGCAGGGAGTGACACCATTAGCTTTTCACAGCTGTGCTCGGGGTTGAAGATGGTGGCACACCTGTTCCCCTTTTTCTTGGGGTCATAAATTCATAGCTGCCCAGGCCCCTTCCCACTCCAGGAGAAGTGAGGATCTGATGGGTGGCACTTTCCTGCCCTCTGGAGTCGTCTTTGTCTTCGAGAAGCCAGCCTCCTAATCAGATGGCACCTTCCTCTTCCGCCTGCTAAAAACTGCAGGAAGTCAGGAAGCGGGGGTAGGCAGTGGCATTGGGTGGGCCTTGGCTCACCCAGAGTGTATCTTGGGGACCTTTATTTTCCTTGGCCAGGGTGGAGAAGGCTTCCTGGCTCCGCAGATGAACTCCCCAAAGTTCCTCTGGCAGGGGGGTGCTGAATCCCATCACAGCCTCCATTCTGGGGAAGCAGTTATAAGAGGGTAACTGTGTTTGCTGTGAGTCTGTAAATCTGTGGGAGAAAGGGAGTTGGGGGGGACAGACAGATCCGAGAGGCAGGCAGGTCTGCCTGTGCGCCACCCCCCACGACAGACACCCAGCCTGGTGAGTGAGCCTCTGAGAGGAAGGGGTGCCACACGACCCAGCACCGTGGAAACAGAGTGAGCGAGTTTCCTGGACTACTCTCCCTTGGCCTGTGAGTCAGCACAACCAACTTCCTGCCCCCAGAGGGCTTCCTTCCTAGAGACCTGGAAAACCAGAGACACACTGATGTGACCTCTGATCTCTAACAGTGGGAGAGTTGGCAAGGCTGCCAGGCTCACCTGTTCAGCCGGTGAGATTGAGGGAAGGTCTCCCAAGAGCCTGGAGGGGATTGAGAGACTCCCCCGGCTCGTGGGCGAAAAGACCTGGCCGGGTGCCCTGATGTGCTGGCAAGATAGGCTGTGGGATCTCAGATGAGCGGCTCTCTGCTCTGGAGCCAGTTTTCTCATGTGGACAAAGGGGAGACACATCCACATATCCCGCTGTGCCATGGACTTGCGTGAGGATTCATTATGAGTCCCAATTGGGCCCATAAGAGGTAGAGGAATTTTCAGGATCTGATCATCTACACCTTAGCTGGACCCTCTAGTCTGCAGACAAGAGTCCCACTCCTGATGGCATTTCTAGAAACAACAGGCCTTTGCTGGGCTCAGCATCCAGACTCCAAAACCAGGGGCCCTTGATGTAGCATATGGTTAGCATCCTGCAGGTGCTTCTTGACCCGTAGGTACCCTCGTGGGCTATGACTCGGGTCATCTATGTCTCAGTTTATCTCCGTGAGAGGCAGCCCCCTCGGCCCGACCCCGTGTTGTGCAGGACCATGGTGAGCCCACTGGCAGTCTTGGTTTGCTGGAGAGGGCAGGCTGTAACATTAGCCTAAGCAGAAGATAATTGGGAAGGTCGGCCTGCTGCTGTAAACAAAATGCTTTCCACGACCTGGGATCAATTATTTTTGGATTATCTGCCTCCTCAAGTTCCCTGCCCGCCAGCACCCTTTTGTTCCCAGGTTCCAGAGCGGCTTCAGAAGTTGCTTGGAATTTCTGTGAAAATTAGTTGGAGGGAATAGCTGAAATCATAAGACATTGAGCCTCTGAGATATGTTCAGAGTTCAGGGGGCATGGAGATGAGTGAGAAATTACTGTTTCTACTCACAGGGCTAATTACGAATAGTAATCATTGCTTTTGTTGCTTGGGCTCTTGTCATAGGCCAGACGTTGTGCTAAGTGTTTTTACTTGTACCGTCTCTTGTGATCTTCACACAGCCTGGTGAGGGAAGCTGGGAAGGTCCCGGCTAAAAAGCTTGCCCGAAGTTACTTGGCTGGTGAGCTTCAGAGCCCTTGACCCTGGTGTGGCCCCATTAGCTGTGGAAGTGGACTTATCAGAGTGGGAGGAGAGAGCTGGGAGGCTCCTGTATGAGCAAAGAACAAGGACTGAAGCCAGACAACTTGAGTTCAAATTCCGGCTCTACCGCTTAAAGCCCCAAGATCCTGGGAAAGTTATTTAATGTCTCTGGGCCTTGGGGCTTCCTTACCTGTAAAATGGAGATAATAGTAGTACCTACCTCATAGGCTTGGTGTGAGGATTCATTGAGTTAGTATTTGCAAAGCACTTAGAATGTACCTGGCCCGGGTGTTCAGGAATCTAGCTCACCCTTGTTCTCATGGGACTGCTTTAAAAGGTTAACTCATTTAGACTCCAGCTAAACCTTGAGGTGGTAGAGTTAGGGCTTGAGGAAGAGCCCTCTGATCAGAGGAAGGATTGGGAACAAAGTTATTTTTTTTAAAAAGATTTTTATTTATTTACTGAGAGAGAGAGAATGGTAGAGAGAGAGCATGAGAGGGAGGAAGGTCAGAGGGAGAAGCAGGCCCCTCGCCGAGCAGGGAGCCCGATGCGGGACTCGATCCCGGGACTCCAGGATCATGACCTGAGCCGAAGGCAGTCGCTTAACCAACTGAGCCACCCAGGCGCCCGGGAACAAAGTTATAAAGATGAGAAATTTAGGGTCTCAGGGAGAGGCAGCAGGACTGGTGTGGCTGGAGTTGAGGGTGTGTAAGGAGTAGATGAGAAAGGTGAATGTTCAAAAGTCTGAATTCTTACGTAGGCAGTAAGGAGCCGTGCAAGATTTTAAAGGGGAAGAGTTACTTGATGAATTCTAGAATAATCTTGATGATGTTGATGATGTTACTCTTTACTAACTTCGAGGCATGAGCCTGGACCCTTTTCTTTCATTCTTATTTAATCCTTAGTTCAACTCTTAAAGATATGTACTATAGATAGAAAAACTAAGGTTTGGGGCAACCTGGGTGGCTTAGTTGGTTAAGCATCTAACTTCAGCTCAGGTCTTGATGGGGGACGGGGTGGGAGGGGTGCTCTCTGCTCAGTGAGCAGTCTGCTTCTCCCTCTCTCTCTGCCCCTCCTCCTGCTCATGCTCTCTCTGTCTCTCTTTCAAATAAATAAATAAAATCTAAAAACAAAAACAAAAGCTAAGGGGTGCCTGGGTGCTGCAGTCGGTTGAGCATCTGTCTTCAGCTCGGGTCATGGTCCCGGGGTCCTGGGATTGAGACCCGAGTCGGGCTCCCTGCACATTGGCATCTGCTTCTCTGTCTCCCTCTCCCTGCCACTCCCCCCCTTATGTTCTCTCTCTCCCTCTCTGTCAAATAAATAAGATCTTTAAAACAA